TCTTCTTTGAATTTTACTAAGTTTTCTTGGTTGAATAGAGTGATAAAAATATTTGATCAAATATCGTAATGTTTGATCTTCTGTGAATTTTACTAAATTTTCTTGGTTGAATAAGGTGATAAAAATATTTTTTGAATTACTTGTATTTTTAAAAGTGTTAAATAAATTCATGATATGTAAATCTCATATTTTCAAAATATTTTTTCTCTCTTAATTTTACTAAATTTGACTAAGTTTTTCAACACAACCTTGTAAAACATGTAATATGCTTTAACACCAATGATGATTTGTTGGAAGAAAGGTTAAAATTCTTCTTAAAATGTTGTATCAATACGAGGCTACCAACATTCTTGTTTATTAAGATGAGCAGAAGGACATTGTGATTTATTATTGCATATGGGAGATCCAAAAGATGAAAAAAAAGCTACTGAAGTCTATTATTTCATTGATTTGTACATGTTTAAACACATTGTTAGCACATATATTACATCTTGGGAACTGATTTTACAAAACTATAATAGATCATCCTTTACAAAGACAAGCTTGGACTCCACTTGATATGAAAGAAGACAGCGTCATAAAACTTTCAGAAAGTCTAGACAACTTCCAGACGACTTACAGGAATTCCAGATGACTTACAGGAATTCCAGATAACTTATAAGAATTCCAGATGACTTACAGGAAGTCCAGACGACTTTCAGGTAAGTCGTCCCAGAAGTCTTTCGAGAAGACTTGCAAGTAAGTCGTCCAGAAGACTTACAAGTAAGTCGTCCAGAAGACTTACAAGTAAGTCGTCCAGAAGACTTACAAGTAAGTCGTCCAGAAGATTTCCAGATCTGAAAAACCTGCATTTCAAGCCCAGATCTGAAAAAACCTGCATATCAAAAAACATTCAAATGGCTTAAAACACACAGAAAATGAGTGAAAGATTAGATATATATATACTTTTATAGAAAACATAACATACATCCAAATGAAGATGAGAACCATCTAATTAAAAACCTGCAAAAAAAAAAGATAGATTAGTGAGAAAAACATGAGACATAACTGAAAAAATCATATAAAGTTAATAGATCTATCTTTAAATTAGTGGAATATGAGAATCATGTGATGAAAAACCTACAAAACAAGATAAGTTAATTAGAAAGACATGAGACAAAAACAATAAATAGATATAAAGTTTGGTGTTTATAAGTTCAAAGAGATTATAGAGAGATTGGAGAGTTCTAGAAAGATGAACATTACATTTTTTGTTGCAGACATTTGAGAGGAGGAGAGAGAATGTGTAAATTTTTCTTTTTATAGGGAAAAAAAAATTAGGTTAAATATTTTCGATTCAGATGACTGAAATGTAAGTTGTCCAGGACACTTTAATAATTTTAGCGGGAAACTAAAATATTTCTAGCGGGAAACTAAAATAGAAGACTTTCGAGAAGACTTACAAGAAAGTCGTCCAGAAGACTTACAAGTAAGTCGTCCAGAAGACTTACAAGTAAGTCATCCAGAAGACTTAGAAGTAAGTCGTCCGGAAGATTTATAACTAAGTCGTCCAGAAGACTTACAACTAAGTCGTCCAGAAGACTAACAAGTAGGTCGTCCAGAAGATTTACAAGTAAGTCGTCCAGAAGACTTACAAGTAAGTTGTCTGGTTTAAATTATTCAAAGCGGAAAAATATTTTTTTTAAAAAATTTTAGGCGGGAATATTAGTACGACTTACTTGTAACTCGTCTGTGTAAAATTATTTATCAGACGACTGATATTTCAGTTGTCCAGACCCTAAACCATAAACTAAATTGACTAAATTAACTAACTAACCATGTTATAAAATCAAATTATATATAAATCGTGTTTACTATACACATAAATAAACACACTTAGGTAAATTTTTAATTTTTCAAAAAACCATTTATGCTTTCGAAAATCTAACCCTAAGAAACACATACAATACTACAACATATATTGGTGAAACCTAAACTAAAGAATATCATGACCCACTACTTTCACTCATCTATGCTGAAAACAACTGATTTTTGTTATATCTTAATTTATATATCTTAAGACACATGTTAATTACATAATCCCAATTTTTCATTTATCAAGATATTTATTACACAATTTTTAAATTATTTTTAAGAAAAACTGTACCAGACGACTTGCGAGGGCTAGAAACGTAAAAAAATACCATTTTTTTGTTTGTTCACAAGGGGTTGGTTGTAATTTCAATAGCTTTTTAAGTTACTTTTGCATTTGATTCAAATTTGAGTTTACTTTTGCATTTCAAATCAAGTTTTGAGTCATATTTGGCAATTTTCTCTTTTCTATATGGTATGTTGTTTTATTTAATTGATATAAATATCCATATATATATATATATATATATATATATATATAAACACATACTAAATAATGCTTCTTACTCATGTGATTTTATAATCATAGTATATTATTATAGTAAAAAAATTAAATAAATTGCTCACATAACTTTATGTGATATTTTTACTGTTTAGTAATTTATATCATTTTTACAAAATTAAAAATACAAGATATATGAAAAAGTCTAAATTATTATTATATGATTAATATAATTGTCTGATTTATTTTAATAACAATTTTTTTTAAAAAAAAAATGAGATAGTGTATATAAATTATTAACAATCTTTATTATTAAAAATTATTAATTTTTATATATATATTTTAATCACATTATTTAATTTCATATCTTTTATTTAAGGAAAGAAGGAGAGCGATTTTTTAGATCAATAAGAGATTTAATAGTTAGTTTAATAAAAACTATAATTTTTATTTAAATATATCAAATTTTATAGGATTCTCATAAATTATTCTCATTATGACATGTGTCATATTCAAGAAATGTAATGATTTCTTTTAACAATTTAATAGATGTACTCTATTAAAATAAAGTCTTGTTTTTATCTAATGATACAAGTATTCATTTAAATTTTGACTCTTTCTATAATGTTGCAAATAATATAAGTCATATAGTTGACTGAACCGCATTATTTAAATTAAACCGGTGGTTATTTATGGGATAGAGTCTTGGGCATACTTTTGTTTTTAAGATAAATTATATGGTTTTGTTTTTGGGCTTAGTATTAAGGAAAAGTTCCAAAAACACATTGAATAAACTTTTCACTAGAATGGATCAAAAATCAATACTCTTTTCAGGCCTAAAGGTATTTAATATTTTTAACAAAACAAATTTGTCTATTATTAATCACTTATTTAAATCATGTACTTTAAAATATGTTAATGTATTTTTATTGTAAATAACAATTACTCTATTTTGATAAATTTTAATGGTAACTTTTAAATAGTTTATTGTTTTATTTTTCTTAAATAATCTACTGATTTTAAAAATAAATAAATGTAAAGCAAAACCAAATCTAAAAACTAAAATCCAAAACCAAAAGATGAAAATGCAGGTTATATTTTTTCTTTTGTTTATTTAGAAAATAAAATATTGCAAATTTCTTTTTAAAAAAATTTCATCTTTTCAGTTTTAAATTAGATGTTAGATTATTTGAGATTTGTTTGTTGGTAATATTAGTTCAAATTAACTCAGCGGATCTAAAAACTAAAAACTTAAGTCAAAGCTGAAAATCAAAAATAAAAACTTAAAAACTAATAACCAAAAATCAAAATTTGAAATTAAATATAAAAATAAAAACTGAAACTAAAAACTAATGCAAAACAATCATCTTGGATTACTGATTTTATACCAAAACATATTTTAAATAAAGATAAAACTCAATTATATAAGTTTTTAATCATAAAAAAATTATGCGCTTGGTAAAAGCGGATCAAAATCTTGTTAGTTTTAAAATTGATATTATCTTACTTTGGCCTCGATTGGTACAGCAGATGATAAAGCAGTAGCAGTATGCTACAGAAACAGTATGCTACATAAGCTGTATGCTTTCATTAAAGTTTTTAATAAAGTGATTGGCAGAGCATTTAGCAGAATATGATTTTAAAATTGTCATAATAGTTAGTAAAATAATATACTTCTTTTAAAATAATATATATTAATAATATATAATTTTATTAAAAATAATGAATTTTCATTATATAAATTATATTTTAAATTTTAAAATTTATTTTTACAATATTAAATTATTTTTGGATATAAACATATTACTCATATATAAAATTATAGATATAATTTAATTAATTATTATTAAATTATAATTATTATTAAATAAATAAATTGATTAATTATATTTTATATATAAATTAATTATAACTTATATATAAATTATTATTTATTTATTAGTAAAACACTAAATTACTCATATATAAAATTATCATAAAATTTAATATATAATTTATTTATTAGTGTCTAAATAATATGTTTATATCGATAATATATCAATTATATTATGTTATGTTTGTTATTAAAAATAATGAATGATATATGTAATTATATAGATTATATTATATTTTAAATGTGAAATATTGTTCTTTTAAAAAAATAATTATAATTTTTTATTTTTTAAAATAAAACTTATATTTAATTCTAAAAATACTGTTTATATTATTAAACAAAAATAAATTAATTATATATAAATATTATTAAGTTTTATATTTTTTATATGCAAATGCTCTATCAAAAGCTCTATATGAGAACATTGAGCAAAGAGCATTTAGAGAGCATTTGTATTTGGTAAATGCTTTTCTAAATGCTTCTTTACCAAATATTGATTGGATAATAGAGAGCATAATGCTTATGCTAATGGTCTACCAATCAACCCCTTTATCAAAAAGAGAAGATCTTTTGCTGGTACTTAATAAAGAAAAAATCAGAAAGAGGATTTTATACCATTAATAAAAGAAAAAAATCTATTTTATGGAAAATAAAAATAAGAGTAATGTGGAAGACGTGATCAGCAAAGCCACCTGTTCTGTCTTCTTCAAATGGCTTTTTAAGTCAAAATCATTTCTCATCCTCCTCTTCATCCTATACTGATCATCCCATCCTCGAAGAAGAAAACTTATTACAAACCAACCAAAACTCTAATGGATCCTCCCTTCGGCCACTCTCACCACCACCACCACCATCACCACCAACGCGATGACAACGAAGATGATCGTCACTCCTTCGGCGCACCACCACCACCACGCAACAACTTCGCCGATGCTCCTCCACCCCCTGGTCTTTACCCTCATCTCGATCCTTACGCACCTCCTCCGCCAGAACCAGCGCCTTACCGATCGGAGTTCGAGCCATACGCTCCTCCTCCTCCTTACCGTTCAGAACCTTACTTCGAAGCTCCGGCACCACCGCCTCCGTTTGGTAACGTGAGCCATGTCGCTCACCACACTTCCCAAGAACCATACCAACCAGATCACCACCGCTACGGAGCTTACCCGCCGCATAATTCTTCCCTGGAGAGCTACGGAGACGACACCGGCGTGGTGCACGTGTCTCACCATAGCTCACATCAGACAGACATGCCTTCTGCTTTCCACCACCTCCCTGATGATGAGAACCGTGTGCCTGATAATCTCGCGGGACTCGCGGGAAGGCAGACGGTGAAGGTGTATTCTAAAGCAGAGCCTAACTATTATCTGACCATCAGAGACGGTCAGGTCATTCTCTCCCCAGCTGATCCTTCTGATGAAGCTCAGGTATTATTATTATTATTATTATATCATCTCTCTCTCTCTCTCTCACAAAGATTCCTCACTCTATGTTTTCTCTGTTTTGTTTCCTTGTCCGAACATGTTAAGTTTCAGTTCTTGTAAGATTGAATCTTGTTGATTATGATTTTGGATTCATTAACATAGAGTTTAATTATCATATTCTCTGCTACAGATTTTGAGAGCTTTAAACAATTTAGTAATTATTATTTTTTTTTTTTTTTTTGATAATTAGAAGGCTTATGTTTGTATATTTTAACTTGGAAAAATTTTGGGTATGCAAGACCAATTTTTCAATTGGCTATAAGCATGACCGTTTTTTTTCTATAGTAGAATAAGTTATGTGGTTTAGTTTCCTTGAGAAATGGTTTCCTATGTGCAGCACTGGTATAAAGACGAGAAGTACAGCACTCGTGTGAAGGACGCAGAGGGCCATCCTTGCTTCTCTCTAGTAAACAAAGCCACTGGTGAAGCCATGAAGCATTCTGTGGGAGCTACACAACCCGTAAGCCTGGCTTTTTATCTCTTCCTTTACTTTGGACGAGAGTCTTTTGTTCTATGTTGTTTACATCTTTGGTGGTATTTGCAGGTGAATCTAGTCAGATATGATCCTGATACTCTAGATGAGTCTGTGCTATGGACTGAGAGCAAGGATATGGGTGATGGGTATCGAACCATAAGGATGGTGAACAATGTGGGGTTGAATGTTGATGCGTTTCACGGTGACAGCAAATCTGGTGGTGTTCGTGATGGCACAACTATTGTCCTCTGGGGCTGGAACAAAGGAGACAACCAGCTTTGGAAGATCTTTCCTTTCTGTAAGCTCTCTCTTTGACCTTCTCTGCTTTGTTTTTATAAATTGGCTTTCTTGGATTAAACTAGAGACCAAGAAGTAGAACTCTAATGATGTTAATGTATCGATCAAGTTGTGGCTTTACTTTAACACCTTGGTTTAATCAAGTCCTTAGATGAGTGTTTTGTAAGTTAAGTAGAGAAGCATACTATCATCCTCTTTTTAACTGAATTTTGTAACTGCAGGAAAATTGGCGGGTGGGAGTGGTAAGAAGTGGTTATGTGTAATGAAAATAAGAAACGAACAAAACTTTGTTGTTGTGTCTTGTAAGACTCGAGTTTGTGAATTTGGGATCAGTAATCTATTTTTAATCTTCTTGTAAGACTTGAGTTTGTGAATTTGGGATCTGTAATCTATTTTTAGTCTCATCTTTTTTTTTTGTCGATTTTAATCTTATCTTAATTTGGAATATTGGCTTATATATTTTTCTAATCTGATTTGAAATCAGATACACACGATTTTTATTGAATCATGTTTGATAATGTATTCTACCAGACTTGCGCTCACGTTTAACTGCTTTCTGATGACAACTGTGTTATTTGTTTGGCCCCATCAACTATAATGCATTAGCAATACAATCAATTTACAATCACCATTAAGTTTGGAAAATATCTAGATTTTTTATGTTCTTGATGGGTTAGTCAGACCATCACGGCACCTGCAAGCTATCCACACGTGTATATAGACAATGCAGTAAGATATTGGTACACCAAACACAAATTAAATGACATTGTTTCTAGCGGTTTCAAAAGCTAATATTTATTTCGTCTCTAGGAAGTGAATATTTCCAAAAATATTTTTTAAAATTGAATTTTGAAATGTTAACCATACTTTTATTAGCTAGTAATTCTAACTTTAAAAATAAATAATTACTTTTACTATTGATTTAATACTAGCTACTGAAAATAGTAGTCATACAAATGATGTATTTATCAAATTTTGATATCATTTTTTTCATATATGCGAAATGTTGAGAAACTATTTAGGAATAGATAAAATAGTATTTAAACTTTAAAGTGTACTTAGTGTCATTTATCATGGTTAAGCTATGATCAAAATGATATTTAAAGTGTACTTAGTGTCATTTATCATGGTTAAGCTATGATCATTGATCAAAATGATAGAACATTTGTTTGGTTAGACCAACTCAAACCAACTAAGCATTAAGATTTAAAGTTTATTTTCTGACACAAGATAAAGAGTCTTCATAGGCTTCATAGGCTTCAACTCAAGGTTAAGTTATGTTTCTCCTTTTACGCCATGGTGCTTGAGTTTGGAGTCTTCATAGGCCTCACCGATCCTCCGACGTTTTCTGTTCTAGCATCTGGCAAACCAACGGCCACGATCGCAACTTCATTCAGATTGGTTTCATTTGTTGGTTGGTTCTCTGTAGATGTGAGTTTTGGCAAATTTGTTTTCTTAGAATCGTGATACATAATGTATAGTATCATTTGAGCTACACCAAATAAGAATCCAAGAATGTTTGGCATCTGACGACAAAACAATAGAGTATAATTAGTAATTAGTATATATATAGCAATGTTACATAATGTGATATAATGAGTTAATAAATAGTTATTTACAGCAATGAACTTGTCCTCGATAAGTAGTCCATAAAAGAACCACATGACGGCGTTGAGAGTGAGAGACAAGGAGAGAAGAAACGGCATGTATTCCACACTCTTTGTCCTGATCACCTTCCTCTGCAACAGTTAATACATTACATATTTTCTCAGTTTCCAAATTACAATAAGAAACGGCAGGGTGTTTGAAGATAATGCTGATGGATCACCATAACGCTTAAGGGAGAAGCAAAGACGGCGAGACTGTAAGCAGCACAGACCCATCCAACGGTTGAGACTCGGTGTTGTTTTGGAATAAAAATATCAACGAGAATAATCAGGAGACCAAGTCCACCTATGTTGCATATCAGTATCAACTTCAACGTGAATATCTGCCATGGTACATAAACATTAGTTAGGTATAAGAATATCGCAAATCAACATTAGTCCACCAACGTGTAAATGATATACAAACCCTGGCCTCTCTTGGTGCGTAAATGATATAGAGAAACAAGTAGGAGATTTCAATGACACATCCAAAGGTGTTGATGCTAATGATGAGATAAGCATGTGTCTTCATTATTCCGTAGAAGAGAAGAAGAGTTGCACTAGCAAGTGCGCATATGTATGGTATCGACTGAAACCCTTTTGATGATTTCTTCTTGTATATCCCATAGAACGTTGGCCTATCATTTAGATATATGATCAAATATATTTATATGTACTTTTTAGATGGATTATTTATTCTAAAATTTACACATGTAGGTGTCTTACACTGGAGACAAGAAAACCCCGAAAGACACAATGTTGCCTGAAAACAAGACCCATCCTCAAGATTAGTTTTACATATGAGCTGTGTATATATATGTTCATATAAACAAAAGGGTAGACATATATATATATATATATATATATATATATATATATATATATATATCTATATGCATGTGTACACTATTGAGAATATATTATATGACACTTCTATTGTTGATTTTAGTTATGGTAATAATTTCTCAAAAACATAGAAAAATAAAGAGAATTAATTACCCAAGAGACCAAAGAGAAAAGCAAGTTGATGAATCTTGATGAACACCATTCTTCTCTTCTCTCTTTCTGATCTCTTTCACTCTTGCTAGTTTAAGGTTTGCTTTGATGCTTGTTCCTTCATGCAAACACCCCATTTTATAATGGTATTGCAGGAGAGAAACCATTCTGTTTTTCATTAACTTTTCTGTCTCTTTTTAAACTAAACACAAAAGTTTGGTTTAGTTGTCTTTGTTTTTGTTTTATTGTACAATTGTTTCATTAGGGAGCACAGATAATTATTGCATGGCTCTTAATCGTCTGTGTCATTAGCTGTTGTTATTCCTAATTGTTAGGCTTCTAGGAATCCGACTAAGAATTTCGCATTAGGCTCAAAAAGATATAGAAGTCGAATCATTCCCATCAATTAATTAGCAAATATCATACACATTAAGTAGCAGTCTCTAGATTGTTCAATTTCGTGTATATAACCAAGTTGATTTAAGAGTATTATGTTTGGAGATGCTTTACTCATCAGCCACCAGCTAATTATACAGAACGACGATTGTGTACTCTACTACAACCTTCCATACATAAGTGGTGTCAGTAACCAAATATGATAAGATCATTTGGTTGCACATATCACAATGACAGGATTTGTGAACATATTAATCAATATCTCTCCATATACAACAAATTAGAGCTGCCACTATATTAAAGCGTGTATAGGCATCACCAACAAGTACTTGACTTAGTGGTTAAACTTCTTAAATCACGTAGTAGGGATCTAATGAATCACAGGTTTGTTTTTCTCTAGGAGAGTTAATTTAACATGATTTGCTTTTATAAGGAGAGTTAATTTAACATGATTTGGATCTCGCCCTATAGATTTGATGGATCTTCTGGTCAAAGGCTAGTCATTTGAAAAAAATTTGAGAAATTTGCTTCCCTACCAAAAAACTTTACCGTAATTTACAAAACTAAATTTTGACCCGCGTTTGAAAAGCGCGGAAATTTTTTATAATTAAAAATTTATATAATTGGGTTTTGTCTTAATTTAAAAAATGTTTTGGTATAAATTTAGTTTACCAAAATTTGTGGTGATAGTTGTTTTTCATTAGTTTTTAGTTTCAATTTTTATTTTTTAGATTTTGTTTTAGATTTTGGTTTTTGATTTTTAGTTTTTAAGTTTCTATTTTTGATTTTCAGCTTTTGGTTTGAGTTTTTAATTTTTAGACCCGCTGAGTTAGTTTGAACTGATATTACCAACAAACAAATCTCAATTAATCGAACATGTAATTTAAAACTGAAAAGATGACAAAATAATTTTCTAAAAATTTTGAAATAGTTTATTTCGTAAATAAAAAAGCAAAAAATATAACCTGTGTTTTCAGCTTTTGGTTTTGGATTTTAGATTTGGTTTTTGGTTTTGCTTTACATTTTTTTTAAATCTGTAAATTATTTAAGAAAAATAAAACGATAAATTATTTAAAAGTTACCATTAAAATTTATTAAGACAGAGTGATTGTTATTTAAAATAAAAAAATTAACATGTTTTAAAGTACATGATTTAAATAAGTGATTAATAATATATAATTTTGTTTTGTTGAAAATATTAAATATTTTGTGCTAAAAAATATTAACATGTTTTAAAGTACATGCTTTAAATAAGTGATTAATAATAGATAATTTTGTTTTGTTAAAAATATTAAATATTTTTTGGGTCTGAAAATAGTAATTGATTTTTGATCCATTAAGGTGGAAAGTTTATTTAATGTTTTTTGGAGTTTTTCTTTAATACTAAGCCCAAAAACTAAACAATTAAATGTCATAAAAACAAAAGTAAACCCAAAACTCTATTCCATAAATAACCGCCGGTTTAATTTAAGTAGTGCGGTTCAATCAACTATATAACTTGTATTATTTGTAACACTCTAGAAAGAGTCCAAATTTAAATGACAACTTGTATCAGTAGATAAAAAGAATGACTCTATTTTAATAGAATAGATACCAAAGACATAAAAATCGTCGACTGTTCATGCTACTTGTTTACTCTGCTACCCTTCTCTAATTAAACCTCTCATCTGACCAATGATTACGGGTAGACAATAGAATCGAAGAGAAAGAAGTGATAGATACGCAAGATATACCATATCTTGTCAGTGCTTTTGGTGCAATGAACAAAGAAACCAAACAAGTTAAAAAAAGATAATTTCATATATCAATCCGAAGTTTATTGTTTCTCTCCTTCCCCAGTTAAATTTAGTTAAACTCAATCAGCGTATGGATGAGGACGATGGTTCGCGGAGGCCACCATATCCACTCTCCAAGAGATTTTTGCCGTAGAGAAGAATCCACCGACGTCAAGGGCACTCCGTACCACAAGTAAACGAATTCTAACGTGTTACTCATTCTCCAAAGGACTTGGTGACATGCATCTTATAACAACTGTTTGTGTGTCTACTATCAGTGGAAAAAGTAAATAAGAGTCGGTTTGTTTGATGAAGAGTTTATTCTGAAAAGACCTTTCCTTGAGAATCCCGCAAAGCCAAGCCAAATTGAGGAATCTGCAACGTCTCTGTTTGGATGGATAATTAAATTTATTACCAGTTCGCAGAACTGTTAACCGCAAACTTTATTTAATAGATAGTCATAAAAATTATTATACTATAACAATAAATTTCGGATAACTAAAAATTGAATTTCTCATTACTATTAACAAGCTATCAAACAAGTTACACATCCAACTACAAAATTAGCATGAAATCTTATATCATAGACTGTTCGAGTAGGGGTTTCGGTTTATGGTTAAAACTATTGAACGTAAGGATATGATAATTTATAGCTAATATATTAGTTAGATGTTCATTAAATGCATTAACCATCCAAAAAATGTGGTAACTATCCACAAGAAAAACTGGAAATCTGATAATTGATTTATACAATTTAGATTAGCCAGTTACAAAACATCGGATACATATACTTATTAGATTAACTAGTTAAGATACATCAAATACGATACTTTATTAGATTAGCCGGTTATTTTTGTAAATATTCTACATCTAATTATTGTTGGCGGACCCTATTGCTTGGACCATGTTATTAACCCGTGCTTGTATTCTAAATTGTATAACCATATATTTTATTAAATTACAGATATTTATTTTAATTGGCTAGCTAAAGAATGAAGACCAGTACACAACCAAATTTTCAAAACAGTTGCCTGGTTAATATATATTGTACATGCTGCACCAAAACTATTGTTCGGCTAATATTCTTTTACACATATAGCTAACAATTTCCAAATAACAAAAAAATAAATATTTATCTTGTGGTTTATTGTTTCAGAGTGTTTAACATGCCAAGATTTTAAATGATAAATCTCGCTAATTGATTAAAATAGAGATTTAAAAGAAGGAGATAAACATATCAGAAGCTCCACATTTTTTTCATAGACAATGTAAACAAAATCTCATTCTTATCTTATCAAATCTAGTGATGATTTGTGTCAGACACAACTACCCAAAATTTAAAATTAGGAAGGCGAAAAATCCAGCGATCAGGGTATTTTCGTATTTCTATCACCTTTTCATGTGTCACGTAGACAACCACTTTTGTCTGTTTGATATTCTGTTAATATTGTAATTTTTTATGGTTTTCTAGCTAAATTGCCCTTAAAAATTAATGAAATTATTTACGTATAACATATTTTTTTGTGTGTTTTAGACGGCCAAGTTCATATGACCGCACTTAAGCAACTCGAGCAAGTTATATTATTTCTTTTTTTACTCGAGCAAGTATTTTCATTAATTTTATAGCATCAAAGTTATGTGTGTGAGTTGGTCGGCATAGATATGTGTTGTTAGGTATATCTCCTGAAGCCTTGCTTGTTTGTGCTATTTCTTTCTTAGCTTTTTGAATTTGGTAATGAACAAGACACAAGCTCTAACGTTTCCACTAAAGCTAAGCATTAATCTCATTTAAATTATAAAGTAAAGAATATTCAGCTGAACTATATATGAGTTATGGGTCGAGAACCTCTTTTTCTTTTAATCAGATGAGTCTTTACTTTTGCTGATGCATTGAATAATACCAGTGGTTTTATACATACTTCTGTTTTCTCTTAGAAATAGAGTTACAGGTAATAAATAACTAAATTAGCTAAAATATAATTAAACATAAACTGAAAACGGTTTCAGTTATTTAATAATTATTATTATATAAAAGTAATTTATATTATGTCATCCAAAAAATAATTTTAAATCATAAATTTCATTACAAATATAAATTTTGTATATAAATTTAATAAATAATAAAATGTATACATGAATGTTTTCAAATTTATTTTATGTAAACATCTACGATGAAAAACTTTATAAATAAAAGTTTTTTTGATTAATTTATTATTAAATATTTTGAATGTATGAATAAAAATTTATTCTCATAGTATTTAAATTGATAATATCTATATTAAAAATATTTGTAAAATTATTAAACTTATATATGCCAAAAAACACCTAGTTACACATATAAATTTGAAGGGAACATAGAAAATGATGTTTGATATCTCAAAGTATACATGTAAGTTTGAAACAAACATAGAAAATGATGTTTGATATTTCAAAGTATACATATAAGTTTAAACCAAACATATACATATAAAATGATGTATACATATGAGTTTGAACAACATAGAAAATGCTTCACATTTGTGAATACTAGCTAGAGAGGGATTCTCTAAAGCAAATTTCTAGCCTTCTTGCTCTCTTATCTGCCTTCATAATCTCGACAAGATTAATATTACTTGGATACTCCAAGAAACTGAGCAAAGCTTGGATACTTCGGCTCCCATCCTATCTCCTCTCGTGTCCGTGAGTTGTTCAGCTTCTTCCCTAAAGGACCACTAGTGCCTACAAAAAAAAGCAAAGTTACCAATCAAACTCTATGAAGCTTTAAGGCTTTCGAAGACAAATCAACATATCAATGTCTGAAGAAACTCACTGGTGAAACCTTTGAACTTCTTATCATATTTTCCGCTTTGATCCATCAGGTCCATCACCTCTTGCCTAAGAAGAATGCACAATGCTGAACATGTATCTGAAAATATCTCAAACTTAGAAAGGAAGAAGTTTCTACCTTGACAAAGGATGGTTGTCACAGCCCACGAAAATCCGACCACCAGCTTTCTTTTTCATGATTGCAACAGCCAATGATGCTGCATCCTGTTCAGAAACACATTACAGAACATGATAAGAGATTTATGTGATATGTCAGAGAATAAGATATGCTATCATAATAAAGTTCATGGTCCTTGTGAGCAAAATGGCAAATGTACCTCATAGTGTATGAGGTTCAGGATATGATCAGGACGAGCATCAACTGTCTCCTTACTCAACCAGTAAGTATGTGCACCTCTTGTCTCTGTGTATAAAAAGTTCAGGAAAAAAACATAATGCTCTAGAAACCAAAAAGCCTTTCATCATTTGCTGATTCAGATTTCAATATATCGAAATCCAAAAGGATATGTAAAGCCCTGCTAGTCTAAGGACAGTCCCTCCACTTTCCAACACTACTTGTTCAGCTCTCAAAAGCACATCGGTTCTCGGGCTCTTTCCTAGTGGCACTACGGGAGAATCCTGCAGTCAAGAGGAATCCACTTCAGAAATGCTTATTGCAGTGTCATCTCTAATATCAAATGTTTTGTTTGATTGAGTACTTGATTCTAATAGATATCAAATGGTTCAGAGACTCTCTGTCCTAAACTATGTTTACTGAAATAAAATACTAGACCTCATTGCATTCTCCATTATCAAAGCAGTCATAGGGTGCAGAACTAGATGTGAATAAGAATGATCCTTCGCCGTTCCACTTTGATGCTGCTAGCCTGATTGGATTGTAAACACAAGCAGAGACCCATATTAGACATGGTTGAATCAAGGAAAAAAAATACTACTTTTCTGTCTCATAAGAGGAGCCATTAAACTTCATCTTCTTCCATTAGCTAATAAAGTTAACAGCACAAGAGACCCCTATTCTGGCATCAAGTAGCAGAACTTAACTCACGGTATCAGACCAAAGGCGTTAGGAACACAATTCGTAGACTCTCCCTGTTGAAACAAGTGATTTTTTTTTTTTTTTTTGTAATGTTACCTGAGCTCAGCGGCGTAATCTGGGCTTTGTGAGGGAGGTGCACAAAAGATCACATAGGAGAACTTGCCATCAAACTCAGTTTCCTTAAGAGATGGTTTGATACCCAACTTCTCCAACTCATCATGATGATTTGTTGTTACTGTCTGGCCAAAGATTTGACAATCTGAATGTTCCTGCTCCACACACACACACATAAAGCTCCAACCCTTAAGTTCCATATTGTGAAAACATGACTTATAAAATCAACCCAAAACATAACTGATACACATCAAAGTAGGTTTTGTTTTTCATTCGTACAATAAACACATTGTCTATAAGAAGACATATGTATGTGCAACTATCAAATTATAGCTCAGTTCTTTTAGACAATGTTACCAATGTATTAAACTAACAAAGAGAAAGTGTACCTCTCTCCATTTCTCTGCAACTAGGCGTCCAAGAACACCTGGTCCAACGATCAGCAAATCATTTGCTCCAATTGAAACATAAGGCTGGACCTTCAAGCCATCACTGGTCTCACCTTCAGAGACAAGGGCACCAAAAAAAAAACATGTAAAATGGTCATAATTGGAGAAACATAACCACAAAATCTTATTGTACCAAACCTCTTAACTTCTCATCCATGTAATAAAAAATATTAATCTTTGTCGATAAACAATATTCAGAGACCAACAAACTGTGCACTAAGTATCCAAAAGTCAACTAGGAGGTCCACTAATCCTTATAGCCGTGGAATACACATAAAGAAACAGAGAGCAAAGATACCAATGGTGGTGGAGGAAGAAGAGGCTTGAACAGAAGTCGCCATAATTGAAGACGTTGATAGTGACAATGAAGGAATGGGTTTAACCTCGCGTCTCAAAGCAAACTTTGGTGTATACGAAGATGCTACAGTCGACTGCTTTGAGAAACGGGTCGATGGAATTCTTAGTATTGTCGTCGAAAATGAGGAGCAGGAGATGAAACCCATCAAGGAAAAGAGACAAAGAGAAAAAGCTTCGCTTTTGACGAAGAAGATGAAGTTGGCGTGGCGATAAAGGTGAGAGTTTGGTGATGGGTGCTCTTCGAGTGTTTAATGTAACCAATGGCGTCTTTACATGTCACAAAACCAAACACTCCTATGTACTTATCGTCGGACATACCAGTAAATGACGAAACTATCCTTGGTAAAATGGTAATAAAAGGTATAACATAGGGTGTTAACATAACTTTATGAATGTACACTCTTTCTGCCTACTAATAAGTACTCTCTTTCACATGAGCTCTGCTCCTTCCGCGTCTCCATCAACACTTCTTGCCCTGCTCCCAACACCATTAACACAAAACCCTAAATCCTCTCAGTAGCACGTCCATTAACATCTGCATCCTCATCCATATCTCCAAGCCATGCCTTAAGACTCGCTTCTTTACCAGCCTTAAACTCCTCGAACTTAGTTTTCTCCACCATATGTTGTTCACCTTTACTGAAGACTTCTTCCTCTTTTTCTTCAAACTCATTGCTTTCCACATCGGGGCTAGACTCCACCTTCTGGTCTTTCAAGTCAAGCTGTGGCCATTTGATGTTGCTTGCTTTCTCCTTAGCCGACTTGAACACCGATGTGAAATAGCTCCCACTTTCGCTAGTATCCTGGCTGTAATCAGAACCACGCATTGTTGTTGGGGTTGCTATACTGCTGCTGGATCTGCTGTTCCAAGGGCTCCCGGCATTGAGGATTAGCCCTCTCTTCGGTTGTTTTGAGGACATTAACGCTAAGGAGTTCTTGATGTCTCCTATCATCCCATCAGCTATAGGAGAACCACACTCTTTCATCGATTTCACCATGGCTATAGAATCTTCCGAGTCTTCAGTATGGAGAGCGGTTTCACGGGACTTGTCCAAGACTTGGGCGTTGAGGTTAAGGACGTTGGGAGTTGCGTTACGGACGTGCTGCTGGATGTAGTAAAGCCCCACTGAGGGTTCGTTGGCAATGTACTTGATCATCTCGGCTAAGCTCTCGTTTATCTCCGCAAAACCATCAACAGTAGAGAACTCATGCATCCTATCAACAACAAAAACAAAACTCCAAACATGTTAGGGTCTCTAAACTCAACAGAAACAAAGAGAAACAAGAAACCAACTAATTTCAACAACAAGTTTTCAGATACATATTCTTCTTTGTTTGATATATCAAAGCAGTAAATGTTAGGAGACGCAATTAAAATGATATCAGTATTACTCAAAGAGAGGTGTTTTACGAGGGTTAAAAAGGAGTGTAATATTCAAAAGAGAAGCTGATGTTGACAAACGGAGAGCCTTAAATAGCTATGAATAAACAAATTCTAATCATTTTGCGTTGCGCAAACATATCTGATACCATTCTCTATAACTTCTTTTCCTTCCCTCACCAAACGAACTTAAATTACAAAAAAAAGGTTCAAACTTTGATCCAAAAGAATCACCAAAGCTCAATGAACAAATACAATTTACCAGACACCTATGACCAATGACTACTCAGCTTTTCATTTTTTTTTGTTGCAGACTAATAATGCCAAACACAGATAAACCATGTCTTTATCATCTTGACTACACTAACCACCATCTAACACCATTCTATACAACTTATGTTCCTTCACCAAACGAACTTATTACAAAAAGGATCAACCTTGGTCCCAAAGAATCTTCGGCTCAATTATCAAAATCAAAAATACAATTTAGCAGACACTTATGAGTGATGACTACTCAGACTACTAATGATGCCAAAACACACAACCATTTCTTACAAAAAGGCTCAAACTTTATCCAAAAGAATCACCAAATCGTCTAATCCAATTCGACGCTAGGTCTCTATGAGAATCAAATTCAACAAGATTACATTGATGGGAAAGTGTTCAATCGCAAACCCAAAACAGGAATTAAGAAACAGAGGATGCGAAAAGGAGCTTACAGGAAACCCTAGAGAGAAAAGAAGAGGCGAATCTGTTATTGATTTCTGCGGCGATAAGGAATTGGAATCTTCTGATGTGTTCCTTCCTCCTATCATCTGATAAAGAGAAAAAAGAAAAAAGCAAATTTTGCCTCTGCTCTCACGGTTAAATGCAGAGAAAAGTTTTTGGCTTGTGGAGGAAGAAGAAGACAAATGATACTCTTCCCCCCCCCCCCCTCCCAATACTGTAAGGTCATTGTTCGCACGTGCCTGCCTCTTACCTCGCACGTTTTGATAGTAATTGTTTGTCAGATTTTTAACAGAAAACAAAAAAAAGAATCAAACCAAGTCCTCTAATTTCTATATGATTAACAAGACAATCCTTCACCTTTATGAAATATATATAATACACTCTAAGAGGTTGTTAGGCTCTGAGGGGTCTATGGTTTGCATCCATCTTTGGAGAACTGGACCGAACTTTTTTGACTCGGGCTCGTTATTGAATGACTGCTCATAACCCGATCCAACTGATCCGATAGACCTTTTGTAATTTGCTTGTGAATAGTAGACAAGATAAGGCATGCGTACTCGAAAGTCTCCAAGAAAAGAAACACAATTTTCTTTTTTAACTTGACAACAACTTTCCCACCAGGATTATAACCTCAAAAGATTTTAACCCATTATACAAACAATGCAATCTAGTAACACCTAAAAACACTAATTTGGTTCCTATAAACAGAGCCGTGCGAGCATTTTTTTGTTGCCAGATGCCAAATCATAAAAATCTCTACAATAAAAGTAATAATATACGAGAAGAAACTATATAGAATTAAACTAACAAACAAACTAGGGTATCAATTATATAACAAGATTCTTTGTGTTTCAAAAAACAATAAGATTCTTTTATTATTACAAAAATATCCATCAAATATTTATTAAATTTTATAACTAATTTTAAAGCTAAGATTATTAAACTAAATGTTTTAATGCCACAATCGAACAAAGATAGATTTTATCAATTTTATTTTCCAATATTTCAAAAAGGCATTCAAAACTATAATACTACACCTAATTACTCTTATTCGTTAACAAAAACAATTGTGTACATGCTAGCTTAGGAACCCCATATATTTATAAGTCCATATTTTCAAAATCCTAATTATTATAGTGTTTTCATCAAGTGATTCAAATTCTTATAAAATTATGGCTCTCATAGTAATAGATGATGCCCTCAATTTAAAACAAATATTGTGTTGCCATAAGCGAAAGTTTCATTCTTTTACACTATGGCACGGTACTGCCTATAAAATATCGCTATATTTTTCATCATTGTGCACCAAATCCGATTTGCTAGCTGAATTGAACCGGTATTTAAACCTTACCATACTACATAATCGACTAACAAAACACATAATATCTCTGACCTAACTGCAATCACTTTCAATACACCAAGTAATGGTTACCAAAGATAAGCATGAAGACCTTGAACCATCAGTATCAACACCAAGGTGCTTCCAAGGGGGGTTTACCAAGGCTTCCAGCGGTTATTGAGACGACTCCTGCCCACCTTGAGATGATCAATACTCCACGACTCAAAATACTGCACCTTTTAACCACCTAAAATTCTACCACAATGATACGATAACACCTACCAGCACGGGAAAAGAAACATAATTTGACTGAACCAAATCAAGAGAAATCCAAATCTTACTTAATAGCATAACTATTATAAATATTTTATTTTTAATAAATTTTAAATCTTAGAATCAAATTGAGTTCAAAAATCAAACAGGTACTTGAAATGTAACTATATATCCAAAAAAATTAGTGTCATCAAGTTTAAAAAATTAGAGTTGTATTTCTATTTGAAATAACTAAAATAATTCATTATAATTTTAAAATATTATTTATTTTTGAACTAAAATCAAATTATATGAAATATATATATATATATATATATATATATATATATCATTAGTTATATTAACTAAAAGATAGACAAACATTTTTGCAAAATTAATCCAAACTTCATCCACATTAACAAAACAATTTTCTTGTATGTTTCGGATTGCTCATTTTAAAATGAAAAAAACTATTGCTGACGACGTGAAGTATTGACGACCACATGACTAGCTATGCAAACTAAACTAATGTATATCTAGCTACACGACTTATATGTTATGCATAGCAACATCCACCAACTTAATGATGTTATGTATTTAACATCACGAGCTTAGTTGCATTAATTCAAAAAGTGATAGGACGTTGGAAACGTTAACTCCTTTTAGTTTTCTTGTTTGATCAACTGAAGTCCTACTTACCAACCACAATTTAACTTAAAAAAATTCTGTCGTGACAAATGTGAGAATAGAAAAAGTAGTGTTTCAATTTAAACCAGTGAGATAGTAAGAAAATTGGTGAAATCTTGTGGGTTGATTGACTAAAATAGAGAGAGAGGGAGGGAGTTAATCAATCTCGAAATTTATTCACTCCTCTCTCTCTTAATTTTTGTCAATAATCACACACGATTTCACCAAATTCCTTTATGTCTCAACGATTTGCACTAAAACTAATTTCTTAGTTTTTATTGTCACGATAGAGAAACTACGTCTCTGATCTTTTAAAAAAAAAAAAATTGTGACCAAATTTCAGTTTGTTTCATCGGACTTTTAATTACATTTTGGTCGGGTGGATCAGAATTTAATTGATCAACGGGAGAATCAAATAGATCTAATGTTTCCAAAATCCACATCACCTTTTTAATTAATGAAATCAAACTTATGATATTAACTACATAATATTATTAAAGTGAAGGATGTTTTTAAATTTTTATATTTAAAATATAATTTTTGTAGTATATATTAATTTAGTCTCCATAGTTTTTTCATCTGGGGGTCAATACTTTACGTAACAAGCAAATATTTTTCTTTTAAAATTATGTATTTGTATAAGATAACAAAAAAGGTTAGAAATCTATACTATTAAAGCAAAATCATTTTTTAAGGTTTTGTCCTTGACATTTTAACAAAATTACAAAACATCTCACTCCCTTTTATTTTTAATGAAAATCGCACATTAAAAGCCTAACTGAAAATCGTCCATTAAAAATTCAATAATTTTAACATTTATTTACAACAAAATAGGTTTCAAATCTATACAAAAATATGTATTTGTAAATTTAAAAATTTGTCAACAGAATTAGGCATGGGTATTTTACCCAGACCCGAGGATTCGAACAAGAACCGATCCAAAAATACAGGTTCATGTCCGGGTTCAGATCCATGCTGAAATAACTATTGAGTATTTTTTGGTTGGACCCACAGGCCTCTGTTCGGCTCCGGGTCCTACTTGAAACCCGAGCGGGTACCCAAAGAATCCATAAATTATTGTATATATTAGGTATACCGTATATTTAGGTGATTAGATATATTTTTGATAATTCGAGTATTTTCTAAAGTTTCAGATTTAGATTTTCGGGGATAATATTAGGTTTTAGGTAATATTTTAGATTTTCAAAAAAAATATAATGCAGGTATCGGGATAATTTTGGTATTTTTTGAATTTTAGGGCCTGATTTTGGACAAACTTTCAGATATATTTACGGTTCTTTAGGCATTTATAGAGTTTTTGGGTATTTTTCGGGTTTTTGGATCCAGTTTGAGTCTTTTGGATTCTTTTCGAGTTCTAAATACCCGAACCGACTCGACAATATATACCCACACTACAAGAAAACATTAATTTAGTAACTATTTTTGTAACTACGATTTGTAGTTACCAATATATGTTACTTATTTTTAACGATTTTACAACTATTTGGCAACTACAATAAAAACGTTGTACATTAGTTGCGATTTTGTGACCAAATATTGTGGTTATAATTCAGTTGTTTTATTGTAACATATTTGCAACGAATTGGC